CAGTAAAATGGTGCGGATAAATAAATATATATATATCGTCTCGCTTTATATATAGTAAGATTTGTTTTAACTTCAATCAAGAGCACTATACTGATACATAGTACTATACCATCGACTCTGCACTGCCCACTAATCATTAATCTGACACAAGTAGCGTATAAAATACGTTATGTGATCATCTGTCGTATCAAATCAAATTATTTGTCACTATGTTAATAAATCATGATATGCAAGTTTTAATTTTTCAAGTTTTTGTTTTTTTTATGAATAGACGTTAAAGGTTGCATCATAATTGTCAATTTTTATATTCACGTATATTAAATAAAATCATATTGTTATATATAATCATATGATTTTGTAAACATTGGCCGGTGTACCAAAAACCGGTCCCCAAACAACAAACATGTTTATTATTTGTTTCATAAAAGATAAACCTATAAAATGTTGACCCAGACCGCGGTCCTTGAGGTATTGGCCGTCAGATTAACAAATAAAGCTGTAAACGATAAATTAGTTCTTCAATGTAGATTGATATTAAGAAATCAATTCATATACATCAGTTTCACAACACAATCATGTACCAGTACTCAGTAGACCGCGGTTTGGATATCTAGTAGTCAGACCGCCGCCGACCAATTTACGTGTCCAGACCGCATACCCCAGAGGCAGGCAGATAATCTTCATGCTATCCTTTCGTGGGCAACCTTAGTCCGGCCTCTCTTTGAACATTTAAAATTATATGTCCTTGAGTTAATCACACAGGGCCTAGAAGATCGTAAAAGTTACAACATTTTTAAAATGTAGCTATCAGTTATCAGTTAAACTTAATCCAAAGGCGTCATAATCTGAACCCTCGTTCTTTCATCAGATAAAAAGAAATTACTCTAGACATTTTCTAATATATTTCTGGAACTATTATGTTACACGACTTACAGCATTTTAAGACGTATTTCTGTTTTATTAGTTCATTTGATACATCTGATTAGTTAATGGTTAATAGTTGTACTCCTCAAACTGAGCATGATTGTTTTGTGATGAGAATTCCTCGATTAGTTAAAATATGTCATCAGAGTTATAAATAACCAATACAATTTTTCCAAGAATTGCTGTTACAGAAATTACTGCTAAAGAAAGATATGTTATCGAATGATAATGATAAATCTGTATTGAAGATAAATAACGTATAAACGTCTCTGAAGAGAATTAGGAGTTTTGAATAAAAGCTGATCCCCAATCGAGCTTTTCTTCAAATTCCTCGCTTGATTTTATTTTGTTTCTTGTTCTAAATTAAACATTATGGAAGTCCTCAAATATTTACCAAACGTTAATGTTATAGTTATACTAAAAAATAAATCCTACCGCATCTTCTGCATTCAGGTTTTAAGGACCATTCCCCGGTAGCACCACAAGTTACCTTCTTATCACCGATCAGTATGTAACGGTTTCTCTTTAAACACGTGACTATCACGATATCTCCTTCTTTAACAAGCCCAACTGGCGAGACTATCGCGTTTGTTATCACAAACCCGTCACAAAATTTATCTAGAGGAATTGATTTGAAATTTAGTATATTTCTAGAAATGTTTAGCTACTTAAGATGGATAAATTTGATAAATTTGATTGAAGGAAAGTCTTTGAACTCCAAATGTTCCATGCTACGTCCAGTCGTCAATCGAGGAGTTCCTAACATACCACACTTGGTTCTCTGGCCATTAGCTTCCTCATCGCTGCTACATGGGTTACACTCGCCAGCACCCTCGGAACTAATGCTGTCATCTTCACACCCTTCACATTCTACCATATCATCTTTTCTGTAGCTGCCAGCTTGGCATGTTACTGACAAAGTGGTGATAACTGTGTGTTAATTTGAAACTGGGTGTAATGATGAAGAATAACGGAAAAGATATTGATGAAAGTTGAAGTTAATGGATTCAAAAATATTCAATTTGCCTGAAATTGCTGATGGTGGTAAACTTTTAACGTACCACATTTGGATTTATCATCATTAGCAACTCTTCCGTCCCCGCAAGATGGACAGTGGTGGGCTCCCTTAGCACTGAACTCGTTGTCACCACAAGGCGCACATTCGGTCATAGTACCCCTGTCATCGTTTCTATAGGTCCCAGCAGAGCATGCATCTGAAATGAGCACGATAGTTATTTTTTTGTACCAATATAATTTGTTGGGAGTGTATTCTGAAGTCTCTAGCACTATGAATATTATTGATGAGTCGGATGAACAATGATGAATGTAAAAAACTTCTGATTTACACGTTTCTACGACAAATAACAAAAGTTCGGTTCTTCAAAAAATCAGTTTAATCCTTAAGTCTGGAATGTGAACAATTCTTACCACATTTGGGTTCCAATTGGGGGTATCCAAAGGTTGTATCTCCTAGACAGACCACTGTCGTATCGCCACTTAGTTGGTACCCAGCCCTACAGCTGAGTATTACAGCTGTTCCTTTTCTAACTGGAAGCTCTGCTATCATGTTGTCCCAGAATTCGTTCAGACCGGAACACACTGAATTTTTGGGCATGTTACGTTTAGAGTTTTATTGAAGTGACAGTCCTAATAATATGCCTAAAGGGTTCATAATAGTCATTACTCATTCCCATTAAAATTTCCGAATTTATTGCCATAGCGAAGGGTTTTATTGTCATCAAATATTGTTCCTTAGGGTAACCATAGAACTATACTATAGTAAATAAACTACCTATATAAGGACGATAGAAGTCAGCAGCCGTGTCATTTGACGCAAAACTTATTTTGACGACTTCCACATTCCATTCTGCTTTCCAGTCCTTGTCAGAACACTCAGAGTCTGTGAGCTCTACACTCAATACCCGAACCTCATTGCAATGTACTTCAATCACGTGACCATTTTGTTTGGCAATCCTCCAAATCCTATCCTGATCAGTCGGAACTTCAAGCGGAAAGCGTTTAAATCTCGATCGGCATTTGTATACTTCGAAAGTGTCCTTTGAGTTGGCGTTTAATCTGACGAGGAAGCCTCCTGCACTTTCCCCTGCTGTGTTGTGGAACATCACGCGAAGTTCTTCGTCACCTATTACGCGTTCAGTTTTTATTTCTAGTGGTGTTGTCTCTAGGTTGTGGTTGATTATCTGGTTTCGGTTAACAGGTATCCATCCTGTAAGGTTTAAATTATTATTATGAGTTTAATTATAAATGAAATTATTAATATAAATCCTGAGGATTGCCCTTTCTATTATTTTACTCCTTCTGCGTTAACATTTAGCAAATTAAATGATTTCCTGGATATTATTAGATAGCTTGAATTGTATATACTAAACATGTTCTTGGTTCACGTTCAATCAACTCATAACATTATTACCATCATCATCAGCTGCGGAAGCTGCGAAGTAGAGGCACCAATTCAATATCATCACGAGTAGAAGTAGATGACTGCGGTTCATCACTTTACAGCTGTTACATCGTTCTTATTCGAGATACATTAACTACGAGTAATGCAAATAAGTTAATCAACTATTGAATCTGCTCTCTTAGATTTTATATTAGGGAAAAACAATGGGCTGGTGTCTCAAAAGACGCTCTCATATTTTAAGCGTTTCCTTGATTCTAAGCTTTAAAATCTTCACTATGCTAGAATTTATCACCCATCGAGTAAACACCTAGCAAAGATCTACCTAAATCCTTGGTGCTACGAAAGTCAAAAACATTAGAAAAGCAGCAAGTTTCAGATCTGCACTCATGATCCTCGTAAGATGGTAGAGTAAAGTGTTTTTGTCTTGTCTTTTACTTCATCGATTACTAACAGCATAGTAGTGTCTGAAATGTGGTTATCAAAATGAGTGCCATTTTTGCTACCAGCTGTGGTACTTATAGCATACAAGTGGTGCTAAATGCTCTTGAAATATACGTTTTTCCAGAGAAAAGAGGGCGGGGGAGTTCCCACCTCAATTTGCCTCATTAGCTCATTCGGTGCCCAAAAAAGGCAAATTGAGGTTAGAACCCCCCAGAAAAAGGAGGGAGCGGCATAGCGCAAACATTTGTCTCATATAATAGTTATACGTCAGCAATTGATAACACCTTTGAAAAGGCAGGCGGTTACCGAAATTGTGGAGTTACATTGTTTGCTATCAGCTGTGGTCGAGCATACGTATGAATATAACTAGAAAATTCAAACTTTAATTAGATAGCGAAGTCGAATTCTTAACTTTCCCGTGGCCTCCAAAAAACACTGCACTTGCCCACAATATGACAATATCATATCCAAAGAGTTGAAATTAGACACATCTCTCATAATCAGGGCACATGATTAATTCAACGCAGTCGCCTGAAGTTATTGGTCCTGAAGTTATTGCCGCTCACACCTGTATATTAATTACCATAAAAACAATTTTTCAGCCGACAACTCGACAATTAGGCACATACTGTATTTAGATTTAAATAAATAAAGTTGTTATCTTGGTTGTTGGGCTACAGGTTATTGTACCGGTGGTCGGGTAGAATGAAAGGTTTATTTGACTTTGAGGCCACGTTGGGGGGTCACGTGGGGACCATGATTAGTTACAGCTGGGGTTATGTTTTATGGAGATAAATTATAGCGTCCTTCTAGCGCTAGTCTACATACAGATCAAGGCTATTAAAACTTCAAATACCATACAGAAAATAGTAGTGACTAATGCAAATATAGTGACTAATGCAAATGATAAGTGGGGACATGGATTATTTTAATCATGAATTTAACTTATGAATTATCTCGCCCCAACTTGAATGTTTAAAAGGTGACCAATTTAAATCGATTGTTACAAGATCGATGATTTAATAAGATCCGATAATCAGCCTGATATTCGAACAATTAAAACAAATCGTGAATACTATTATTATTAAATTTGAAATCAACCTTTCAAAATTCTATAATTTCAATCACATGTTCAACGTATCAAAAAGTTCTAAAAAAACTATTTGATGACATTAATTATCTAATTAATTAATTAAACTATTAATACCTGCAGGTAGAGACGTTGAAACAGCACTACATGCTGGTGCCGGAGCTGATGCGTAACACCGCGCTAGCACACACCTTACAGACACGTGTAGGAGAGGAAACGTGCATTGTTTTTACACATTCTTGTAAATCCGCGCAGATCCTCACCATCGGACTCAAGAAACTCGGTAGGGTTATTTGATAGTTAATTATCTAGTTAATTATTAATTATCTAATAAATATTTAGTTAATCAGATAATTAGTTGATTAGTTAACTTTCGTTTTTATTTGGCTATCCGGATGTTATCAATGCCGATGGTTTGATATTTGAAAATATACGGTAATTAATCGATTAATTTATTATTGTAATAATACAATTAGCAAACTTCGTATCCAATAATATCAATTAGAGTATTCTGCATCCTCCACGTTTCTGTGATTTCAGCAAACTGCTTTAAATAAAGATATTAAAAATCTCAATAAGAAATATAAGTTATACTGTTTACAGTATATTTATAATCAATGTAAGAAAAGGATATTTTTATTAGTTTTTTTAATCATCTATAATCGTGAAAATTTGGATGTTTGGTAACTGACATCTTTATCTGAAGGCTGTTACGGGTAAACCGCCCCTAAAATGTCACCTGTTTTTTGGGCCCAGATTGCCGAGTTAGGGCTAAATTTACAGGGTTCTGAAGTGTCTAGGAATAATATTTAAACCTTTTTCTAGCCTGCCAGGAAGATTTGGAAATTTGAAAATAAAATCAGGTACAATTTTTTTGACGTTGAAATGGGGTCACTTTTAAAACACCTCCCCTAAAATGTCAACTCTATATGTGTGATAATTACAAAATGTACAGGAGGCCTGATTTATATTTTGTCACTAGTACTATTTGTTTTGTCTTATTAAAACATTAAGCTACTTGAAAACATTCACTCACTAAAGGAAGTGCCTCAAAACCGTAATTACCCCCTAAAATGTCACATGCACCACCCCTAAAATGTCAGCTAAAACAGGTTGTGTAGCACTCAGAATGTTGCTCAATTATTAATTTTAACCACTTCTGGGACAAATATAACCTATTTCTGAGAGGTGTTGACCAGAATTTCTCTCTCTGTTGAAAAAAAATGGTGAATTTAGTCAATTTACTTTTTGTGACTTTTTGGGGACTTTTTTTTGAATACCCAGAACTGACGGCAAAACAGTAACTCAGTCAACAAAATTTACACCTGTAGTTAGATTATCTAGTTATAAACTAACAATTGACACAAAGGAAATGGATTCAATGTGATTTTAACCTAGTGCAAATTGCATGTTTTAATTGCATTTTTTGGGATTTTTAACATCATCCTGCATTTTGGCAATTTTAGTGACCTGTAGTTAACTAAGCCAACCCAGTAATCGATCTGACCTTCTCTATAGACTAGATTTGACTGCTTTTAGCAAAATTGGATGTCAAAAACTACTAGTTTATGGTAAACCTATGATATGCCCCCTAAAATGTCATTTTTTTCTCCCCTAAAATGTCAAATTTGTTGTTTGTTCGCATGGTGTGCGATAATAGCTCTTGTTTTGGCACTTGTTAATTATTAACATCAACTATTAACGATATGTGTAGTAGGGATAAGGAGAAGAAGAAATTCATTAAAAGATCAAAGGCATAGCAGAATTAGCAGGCATCTAGAATTAGCAGAAACCGCGCGTATATATATATAAATATTACAGACCTTACTAGGACCTGGTGGCGTGAGTGGTAGGCACGTTTGCTCACTGGCAGCAGATTGCACGTTCGATACCCGTCGGAGGTAATTATTCTCCCACATTTTTTTGGCATTTATGAAGAACTTTATTTTAAATTGAACTTTTATTGACTTATTGGCATTTTCTAGGCCAGATTGAGATAAATTTGGCTGGAAGGAGCTGTTCTTGTATGTAGCAATGCATTGCATCTTAGGAAAAGCCTGAGTAATTTGATCAGGTTAAAATGACATTTTAGGGGGGATAATTAGACATTTTAGGGGATGTTTATTGCGATTAATAATATAAAACTAATTCCTTGAGCTGCCAAAGCTTTCCAATATTACCATTAGATGCTAAATATGATGTTTAATAGGCTGGTACCTCCATTTTATGGTGCTTGTAGTCTCAAAGCCAGAATCTGATAAAATGACATTTTAGGGGGCGGCCAGGTGACATTTTAGGGGAGGGTAGTAATATTGAGTAATGTATTACTTTCCATATCTCCAGTCATATGTACAAAGTTGCTAAAATATGTAAATATCACTATCCTAGACCAAAACCGAGTTAATATTAATGAATCCCAGAGTTATAAAATTGTGCGCTTTTTTTCAAAAGTAAAAAATTCGTACAAAGTGAAAAAAATGCCCTTATGGCATCATTTAGATTCAATTTCAGGATGTGGCAGGGTCCGAATGATATTTTTTTATGTTTAGGAGTTACAAATGATTAGGTAAGATACTTTTTAAGAAGCTGGGATCCAATCAATCAAGAGTGGCATTTTAGGGGTGGCTGACATTTTAGGGGCGGTTTACCCGTACTTGTTAAACATGAACAAATTTATTGCTAACAGTTTCCCTAACTGCTTTTGATAAGTCCATAAATGAACGTTTTACTCATTCATCATTATTTTGATCGCTATATCAATTTCTACATTACATATATTGTTGATGCTTGTCCTACAGACAAACCTAAAAACATGGCCTGTATCCAAAATTCGCAAAAAACAATCCGGTTTTAACCGGTTGACAATAATTCATTTAACCTCAAACTCACTGTAACCAGTTTGAATTTGATATGCATTGACTGACACAGCAAGTACAGGCCGTCGAGTACAGGGCCATGTATATCATATTATATTCTTAATTCTCAAGAATTCCTGTTTGTTTTTATCTGTTCTGAAGATTTTATCACTTTTTTTTTGTTTTTGTTTTTTTTTTGTGTCTAGTATCATTTGTCCGAGAATGGTTTGATTTTAAATTATTTTTGAAAACACTATAAATTGGTTTTGATCACAATGATAGTTAACAATCCATTTAGAAGTTATTAACCAAGGCTGTGTTTAGTGTTTACTATCTACCCAACATTTAAGTCATAGTTATGAGCACAATGTTATATATTTATGAGCATAATGTATTCTGGGTAAAATTATCTTTATCCCGGTTGTTGCGACAAGTAAAAATGCTCTTATTAGGGAAAGGAGATTACTCGACGTTTCAATGTAACTACATCGTATTCATGATCTAAAAACAAGTGTTAAAAATTCAAAACGTAAAAAACATATATCTGAGGCAAATTTTGTGTACATTAATTTATTTTTAATCAATCAACTTTATCCAAAAATTCGATACAAAAAAGTCATAACAAAATTCATAACAAAACTAATTTATACGACGACAAACTTTTATAGTAAATACTGTACATTCCTAAAACTACTACTAAATATACTACACATGATACAGAAGCATGGAGTGCTACAACGGTGAACAGGTGCATGATGTGAAGTGTGTAGGTATGTATCTAGTGTGGAGTGGAAATGGCGGGAATCGTACTGACCAATGAGAAGTGTGAAACGTGGGAGCCTAATATGGTTTGATTGATGTTGTAAGGGTAGTGTGTTGAATAGGAGGCGGAAGTGTGCGTGTGTGAGATGTGGTCCCTGTACTCAGAAAGTAAACAAAACCTATAAATATCACTAAAAATCACTACATATGTGTAGACAATCCCCTGTCTGTAAAGTATAAAATATGTTACACCCTGTTTATTATGTACTTGTTACTAAAAAACGTTTGAATAATAAGAGCATTTTTACTTGTCGCAACAACCGGGATAAAGATAATTTTACCCAGAATACATTACAACAATGCGACTCATAAATAATACTCCAATCCGGATTTTATATGAGCATAATGTTACATTAATTCACATATTTCACAATATAATCTGTTCAGTAAAATATGGAAGATCAGAGAGAGTTTCCGCCTATTTCCATACCACATGACCACGTTCCAACCTTCACAAACGGTAAAGACATCATCGCTGAGTTAGAAACAAGAATAGAGAACAAACGCATGGTTGATGACGTCATAACCGGACCCGATGACGTCACAGAATTCTTCGGCAGGGTATTCCCGGAAGTAAAGCGGCAGCACAATGTGGGACTAAACACAACACGTGACTACAAGATATGGGAGGATGGTCAGAACAAGATAACTATTGAGGAGGACTTGGAACCTATAATTGAGAATGAGAGGAAGTGGGATGTTTATGTGGGGGGTCCTGCCGCTATAATAGGCGCTGTCATCCAATCACGGAGCGGGGAAGCAGGAAGTAATGTTTTGTACGCTCATGATGGGATAAGAGGGATATCAAACTGGAAGGGATCTGCAGGAAGTTATATTCTACGGGACGTGTGTCCGCTGTATCATGGAGCTAATTACAACGCTGTATATGTAGCGTTCCTCACGCTGCGAGACGCGCTCCATCGCAGGGTCAACTTTGCAGGGTACCTCCACAAGATCAAGACGGATGCAATGTGGGTGAATGTTAGAATCAATTACAGCTCACTGCTCCGAGATCCTGGACTACTGTTACTGTCTTTAAAGAATCAATGGAATGCGCTGAAAGACGTGGGCTTTTACGTGCGGGGAAGCGCTTTTAGTCCCGCCAACAAAACTATAGCGTATACTTCAATACCCCACGCTAGCTTGACCCCGAGTATTCTGAAGGAGATGAACCTACCCTATTCTGTACTATACATGTCAAACGAGAGATCCATGTCCTTGGACGCAACTCCGGGCAAAAGGAAGACCAAAAAGAACAAGTTTGTGGACGCAAAAAGACGGATGGAGGAAATAGTAGGAAGTGAGCTCATTAAAGAAAGAGTTTTATCAAAACAAGAGACATTAGATCGGGGATATGATCCTGAGTATGTGTTTAACTTGACAGAGAGACCGGGAAGTGGGGCATTTCCCATGAGTATTGATGAAGATATGGAACAAGATATTATCAGTGGTGGAGGTGAGGTGAGAAGTCAGAGCAGGCTGGTGAGTATCCTTGTTAAACCAGTGAGAGGTGGTGAGGACTGTCAGGTCACCAGAGTAAGGTGGGAGGACACCGTTACCGGCCAGATGTCTACCACAGGGGTTAACTCTCTGATAACCTCACTGGGTCCCTCAATGACTACACTTAGAGTACAACCAGGGAATAATCAGAGCTTGTTAGGGCGACTAACCAGGGTTTTTCAACCCTCAAACTTGATGGAGAAAATGATGTTAGCTACAGCAAACACCATGATTTTTCTCATTAAGATAGATAAAACCAAAGTTCCTGACTTTCAGCTGAGCAAATTCCGAGATGACTACGGATATGGTAACAAACGGTACCTGATGTTAGCAGAGCGAGAGGTGGACATCTCCGGAACACCCTATCACGTGTTTGCTATGCAGGCTTCAGGTGGGGGATTGTTCCCTTACAGGCACTGCCACCCAGAGACAGCTCTAAACGTTATCAACACAGTTTTCGGTACCTCACTGCAACTTGATACCCCCGGGATACAATATGAGATAATATCTGTGAGGACATGTTCACGAGGTGTCACTGCTCAGAACTTCATGCGACTTTCAGCTCCGGCAGCCAACATGGCCATGGTTTATGGGTTAGGAGGTTTAGGTATGGGCACTATGGTCCCTAATGCTCTACTCCTCAAAGCTCTGATCACACAGAGAGGACTATTAGCTGAAGGAAGGATCAGTGAAGACCAGTTTAGGGATAATCTGAAGAAGGGTCAGTTTGATGAGGTACCACACTGGGAGTCTGGGAACCCTTTCTCTCGGGATTATTACAAGTTCTTTGATATGCGGAGTAGTCGAGCTACTGCCAGACAACTGTTCAGATTTAATACCAGTTGCAGTAGAAATATTCAGAAACAAGGATTTAAAGCTCAGCTTGTTTTACCTTTTATCAAACTTCTTAGGTTTAAGAGATAAAGCTTATTATGACGTATCCTCATGTGCTGGAAAATTTGTCAATATCGTGGGTTGACTTAAAGGAACGTAAATTCTCAAGAAAAGCCTTTTTATTTTTAAGTTTTTGAAGATAAGTTTTGGCAATCCTGTTTTCCTGTTTCCTGTTACGAATTATCGCGTCGTGAATTTCTACAATAGTGACCCTGACTAATTAATTAGTTAACAAGTTAATTAATAATTATTCATTATTATATCAATCCTTTTCAAATGGTGTAATACTAATAAGAAAAACGTCCAACTTTTAACGATATCTTTTGAAAAATGTGATTATTGTTAGTAGATGAAACAACTGTTCCGTCATTGTTCATTCCATAATGAGTTTTAGAATTAATCAACTGTTACTGCTTGCTAATAGTAATAGATTGGAGGATAATCTTTATTCTTAGTTGAAAATCTTGAAATGTTTTAAAAACAGCACAAACAATCTCACGATTACTCAATTATTTCATAAACTATGAAATTCTCAAAAATAGTTTAAAATGTATACACAATGCACAGTAAAACCCTAATTTACCGCAGAGTTTGGGGGAAAGAAACATCCGCGGTAAATTGGGGTTTCTTTGTTTACATATTGCATTTTAAGTCCTATTTTGGGGAAGGAAACGGCTGCGGTAAATCGGAGTTTGCGGTATACCGGGGCGCGGTAAATCGGGGTTTAACATATCGGGGTTTTACTGTATAAATTAAACTACCGCAGGTTTCCCTTGCACGGCACTACATTCTCAGATGAACCAAAACTTGCGGCTCTCTTCCCTCGCCAAATTCAAGTGTGGTGTTGTGAAGATACTCGTAGCTACTGATGTTGCTAGCAGGTTAATTTTATTTTTTAGTAAAATTTCAATTTCAATATATCTTAGTTATTTTAACTTTCTATTTCTAACCATCAAACATATACTAATTTAAAACAGAAAACATTTTCAGAGGTTTGGATATTCCGACAGTCTCATACGTAGTGAATTACAACACTCCCTCTGCGCCAACAGACTACATCCACCGTGTGGGCCGAACTGCACGTGCAGGTGCCGGTGGCTGCGCGGTCACTATCATAACACAGTACGACATTGAACGACTTCAAGCCATCGAAGCTGCCATTGGTGAGACATATAATAGACATATAATAGGATTTTTTTAGATTTTAGTTTCTAGCACTTTCGTTTTCATTTTGAAGACCGAAGTAATATCTTAATACAGGAAAATAGATTGATCCGACTGTCTCCGGTTCATCAGCCAAATCTCCAGACCGGTACTCGGTTACTAGTCGTTTGTGATAATATAAAGTGTGGTATATAAAGAGTAGATATTTACATAGCGTACTCTATAATCTAGATCTATAAAACGGAGTACGAGTTTTTCGAACTACAGTACGTGTCTATTACTAGAGTGCGTGTCGAACTTGAGTACGTGTACCTTGTTTTTCACTGACATACAATTCTCACCACTCATGCATTCCATATACTAAAAACAACATTCCTCCGTAGGCACACAATTAGAAGAAACAACCATGTCGGACGAGGAATCTGTCAAGATCCTCCAACCAGTCTCCCTAGCCATGAGGGAAGCACTCCTTCATCTGGATACTCACGATTTTGGGGAAAACAAAGCTAGAAACAAACGGAAATCTGACAAAAACGGTGCTAACTCTCCCGAGCCATTGAAGAAGAGGAAGAAAAATAAGAAGATGGACGAAAATTCAAATAGAGGAAGTAAACAGAAGCGAACAGAATTTAATTCACTGTCGAACTTGAAATCAAATAAAGTTAAACCTGATGCAATTGCAAGGACGGGAAGTTCAAAGATTTAAAAAATCTAAATCAGCTGTCCGGAAATCGAAGAAGAAAATAAAGATGAAAATTGTAGAGTCTTGGATTTTAAAATTACTTTGGGCAATTGAGATTTAATTATTATAACTGTATCAAGCTCAACCTATTATCTTTCAGTTTCCAGTTTTATAAATTCCAAAACAGCTTTCTGATCTTCGTTTCGATAATAGGCCAGAACTATTACAAATAAACAATCGTGCACATAAATTTCACAACTACAATTAAATTTATTTATTGAGGACGTTACAGAAGGAATATATTTAATTTTAATTTTAATGCAGTTTAACTTTAACTTTAAGTTAGAGGACTTCGACGCGCCGCGAACTAGCATTTGCATTCTTGCTTCGCATCGTCGAGCAACGATCTCGATGGATTGACATCGTCAATCAAACTTTAAGGAGTCCTCAGGTCGGACAATGGCGTTTCTCTTGTCGCTTATAATTATATAATTCCATTTATATTATATACAGTTGACTGGCTAATTGGTTTCTGGAGAGAATTCGGTCAAAACTGTAAATAATTCAGTCGGAGAAATTTCTTGTATCACTATCACGTCGTGACCCCCATTGTCATTTCACTCGCGAAAGCCACGATATTGGATACACTTACAGCCGCGCACTCGTACGGGCCTACAAATACAAGTACAACGTGAGGCAAGAAAATTCGGTCGGGGAAATTTCGTCTTCAAAAACTGAAAATTATTTTTCTATTATGTCGAAAGATTTGACTTCCAGTTCTAATTCACAATTTGGTTTTAACTATATCATCATGATCAATTAACTAATAATAAGCGGTGCACGATAAAAATAAACTTGCTCGGATTTTCAAAATTTTTGTACCATCGTTTTCTAGAGACTGTGAGAATTTTCACAGTACCAAATTTATTATACCTTTTTGGAATGATTTGACATACGTTGCATGCCACTTTTCGCGCGCGAAGCGCGCGCCGCCGAAGGAATGATCAGTGAGTTTCGCCTAGGTGCCATATTTGATGGTGCGCGGCTTTTGGAGCAAAATTAGGTGTAAAAGTCGCGTAATTTGACGAAATTTGTTGATTTTTGTCGTATTATTCTGTCATATCTTCGGTTCCTAAACATGAATCATGCTGAAAATTTGTCAGAACCTTTCAATCATACTTATCTACCGAACCTAATTTAGTTGGGAGAGATTGGCCTTGATTAAGAGGTCTAAAAATGACAAAATAGGTAGAAATTCGTTGATAACTCAAATTCTGAGCATCGAAATTGTTCAAACTAAATTAGGTTCAGTAGAACATAAGTGTTTACGTAAGCTGACCAAATTTCAACAAAATTGTTATATGGGAAGTATTATAACTTTTTGATTGTTTCCAAAATAATGTGCTGGCCGAAATAAGAGCTAAAAAACCATTCAATGGTCAGCGCGCGCGTTTTATTGTCGATGGCGCACTGCCTACTTACTACTAATAAATTGGTGTCTGGCATCTGGGCAAAAATTCCATCGAGCTGGACAGGGACCTGCCTTGTATCACGCGGTGACCCCCACTTAACTGTCACCCTTCACTGTAGCATGTAGAGTTTTAACGATACAGGGGGAGCCGCGCGCCCGTGCGCAGCGGCCTCATACAACGTATGACAAGACCTGCATGGGACAGTGACAGGGAGATACAATCATCAGTTTACCTGGGGACCTCAGGCTATTACGTTCATAAACATAGAATAGAGATTCGGCGGAATGACAGGCTGAGCGCGGCCCAGTAATCATCAGTTAGCTGACTAATTGGTCTCTGGCCAAAACATCCATCAAATCTGACAATTACTGTTCGCAAAATTTTCATATTTGAAAATGGGACAGAGTTTGTGATTTAGAAAATCTGAATTTTCGTTTGGTAAAGCTTTCTGTAATCTTCAATAAACTTCCTTCGACCGGAATCAAACTTTCAGCTGTAGGTTTGAAACTTATCAAAGCGCGCGCCGAGTTGTTTTGTAAGTCCAAAGTCATCGACGACTTTGTTTCAAGCAAATATTGACTTGTACGGTTATCAGTATCACCTGTTAATTGCGCAGACAATCCCCTTGACAGCCTCCACTTAAAGGAACCAAATAATACCACTGTTTTTCCAACGATGTTGAATTATGAGGAATGCATCAATGATCAATCCGGTTGAAAATCACAATTCAGATTTAATTTCTAAATCTAAGAAAAAATTAACACCATTTATCAATTAAATATTGAATATGAACTTTAAACCAGATTTGTGCATCAATTATTTAGATAGGTAACCAAATACTAAATTAACAAAATATTTACAGGTTATCCATTCCACTTGAATTTTGCTGACTTGGTGAAGCCTTCCTGCAATTTTCATGTTTTTATATTCTGATTTGAAACACGGATTATTTAATCTCAATGCTTTTTCTTTCTCTCACATTAATTTTAAAGCAATTTGTAAAACTTTTCCGTTTATATTTCCTAGGATATGTCCGATGAAATAATTATATAATAATATTCATACAGCCCTCCCCAATGTGAAATGTTATCCTCAATCCATAAAGCAAAAAATTAGTTATAACAAAAAAATTAGTAAATTCTCGCCAAAAACTGATAAAATGTTAACCACTTTTTAAAGTATTATATTGTTCGATGTTTGATGACATTGTACAGAGTCTAAATTCTAAAGCCAAACCACACAAAAGTTATCATAATAAAATTTTAGAATCCTATTAACATGTGTCTATTTATCAAGACATCAAATAGCTAGTAAACATCAAAATATACCGAGCTAAAATTGTGTTTCTCAGCACATCTTCTGATCCGCATTCTTTCTCTGAAGACGGAACTTTAGTATTTCCAGGAGTTAGGAATACCATGAATGCCTGTGGAATACCACTTTATATTTAAGTCTAAAAGTTGCGAAGTTTAAATCTCCATTAGGTCTGTGTAAAAGCTCGCTTTCATCCTCAGATGGATCTCTAGGTTGAGACCGTGCCTATCTTTCTGCGGGGAGATAAAGTGATTAAGTGTGATTAAATGGGGTGAAGTTTGGTAAAGTGTGTGATAAAGTGTGATCTCTCTATGAATTCCATAGAGAGATCACACTTTACCAAACATATCAGCAATTAAATCAAGTCCGTCTTCAGTTAAGAGTAAGCAAAAGCTGAAGGACTCAAAACTACATAGCTACTAAAACTGTCTCCTAGCAACAAGGAATTTAAGGAATGAAGGGAATGTACCAATTGCATGTTGAATTCCTTGTCCCTCGTATCATCAATGGTTTTGACGCTGCCAAATAACTCTGGTAGTTGGATGGAACTCGTTCCCACCAGAGTTGATCCAATCATGTTCTTTTTGAACACCTGCAAGAGAGATGTTACATCGTCAATAAATGCGAGGATAGCGTGTAAAAATGTTCAATGTCTCTCTCAAAATAATCCAAAATCGGTCAATAACATTTGAAATAAAATGCGATGGAAAAAATTAACTTAAAATTCCATACTTTTCAACAATCCACACCAGTAAAGGAAATACTTGCCTTTATTAGAACAACTAATAAAAAAACTCGCCAATGAATTAAAATAAGCGTAATCTAAAATTCAAATCTAAGTTTTAAGCACATCCTAAATTAGCAAATAAATGTTGCACACAAACAAAAAATAATAATATCTAATCTGCTAACCTTAACATGAAGAGCGGCCGTCACGGGGGATACCAGATATACGGTAAATTGTTCATTCCACGTGACTCCCATTTTTTGGGTGGTCACGTGGGTAGTTTTCTCGCATTCCATCTGAACGTACAACTCGTTTTCCGATAAAGAGTCCAATGCTTCTGGGTTATCTGGGAGATAACACTTTTACTTTCTGTTTAAAAAGGAGATAGTACAGGGTGGGCCAAAAGTCAGTGTGCAAACGTTGGCCTTAATAGCTCAGTCACTGAGTGCCCAATTGAAATACTTCCTTCTGGTATGACTTAGTACCACCACTGGTTCGAGAAATTTGTCAACTCGAAAAATATTCGCGTTCATTTTTTTCAAATGGAGGTTCATTTTCACATTTATTTGATAGTTTGGATAGTCGGATCAAGCTAAATGTTATTGAATTGTGTTTGGCCATTCGAATTACGTTTGTCCTGAAAGAATTAGAACTGTAGCTTCTCAGATGACCGAGATATGAAGCATAACGAGTTTATTCATTACGTGTGATCAGGTGATTGGTTTACCTAATCACGTGATAAGGTGACCCCGTTAACTACCCCGTTAAACATTATGGGAATTGTTAAGGGTGCCCAATTAAGGTGTCGTGTCACGGTGTCACATAATCACCCAGTCAATTTTGTTAACGAGATACACAAAATGCTTGATAACTTCGTCATTTCTAATCCGTTTTGCCTCATGTTTTCAGATCATATGCAACATTTGATAATCTACCGTCTCTGAAAAAATTAGGCGTTCAGCATGTTTAGAGAAAACAATATAGGTGTTTTAATATTGAATGGGTGTGGTCTAAAATATTCGAGTTTTCAAATTTGGACGACGGAATCCTCGAACCAGTAAGTACAGTATGCCATCTGCAAAGCAACAGCTCTCAAATATAAAACACGGCGGAGGTATAAGACCCAACGTTTGCACACTGACTTTTGGCCCACCCTGTACTTTCACTTTCTCTTTTGAAATGGGAGATAGTACTTTCACTTTCTCTTTTAAAATGGGAGATAGTACTTTCACTTTCTCTTTTAAAATGGGAGTACTTTCACTTTCTCTTTTAAAAAGGAGATGATCAGATTTTAGAGGGCTATCTTTCAATACTTCAATTTAGAGGGTTATTTAAGGATTGAAATTGAGATTACTTTAGAATAATTAATAGATGCTGTTGATAATATTTAGCTGAAACGATAGTTATCAAATAGGGATAGCATTATCAAAATGGACATACGCTGATCTAAAAACTGCAGATTCTTTCAAGTTCAAACTTCTAAGAAATTCAGCTCAAGAACTTAGATTTATTGCAAGAAGAAAAACCTTTACTGTAACCAAGATGTAATTAGATCGAACGCAGAAATTAGATCGAACCGGTTCGATCTAGGAATTAGATCGAACGCTGGCGCGAGATACATATACAAATACATTGAAAGCCGCGCCGGCGTTCGATCTAATTCCTAGATCGAACCGGTTCAATCTAATTTCTGCGTTCGATCTAATTACATCTTGGTGACAGTTACTGTTGTGAATAGGATAGAAATGATCAGTCTGGTATGAGTCAATAACCAATAAGAGACGTTCGTCAACAGTTAATTAGCGTATTAATTATTAATTATTAATTAGCGTATTAAGTAAGCATTATATTATTTTAATGAAGGGATTTGCTGTCGCTTATTGAACAGGTGACAAGATGTTAATCGTAGAAAGAAATATCAGCTTTCGTCCTCTGGAGAGAATTTGTTTTTGAAAAAGAAAAGATGCTGGGATATAAACAGCAATTAAACTTCACAGACTAGAGCAGAATAGCAGATAGTGATGAAATATGATTAATTAATTGATTAATTAATTTGCTGGGCATTTATCAAACATACCGTAATACCCTGCAACTGATTCTACCCCGTTTTTTGACACTAAAGTTCCGCCCAAACCTTGAAAAGATTACATGAACGAGCAAGTAACAAATGGAGTTTAATGACAGTTCATTCACCATTACATCATGACACGCTTGCATTCTCCAAAAATCACATTTTTCTTGCAGCATGCAAATAAAATTAAAGCTTCCAACAAAAACAACAAGTTTCATCACAATACACACGCTCTTCAGCTTCTAACTGATAAAAAAGCAGCTCAAATAAAACAAACATACTGTCACCCCGTAATCAATAGTATTTTTTAAACTTTAAAGTGCATGCACTGTTCAAACATTCACCTTCATTAAGTGCTACCAAAAGCTGCAATGCACAGTCGGTACTTACACTTGGTACTTACAGCCATAACTTAATTAAAGCCAAACTAGTTATTACATAGCTATTTACAGCTAATGTTACAGCGAACACGTGCAGCTAGTATTTACAGCTAGTACTTACAGCCTTATTTAGGAAAGCACTTTAGTCCGCTACGTACAGCCTTAAACAAGCTAGTTATGACTTACCAAGAATACCCTCAATCATCTTGAGACCCCGGATAGTAAAGGAGGCCCCCGCTAGGTAGGGTTTCAGAAAACACTTTAACATCCAGTGTCTTTGAGGCATTTCTTCTATCACTTGACTGAAAGAAATCACCCGTTAAAAACAAAATTTTAAAGCTGGTCTAAGTTATAATCGGAAGATATTAATAATTATTGTAGTTATTGTAATAACCGCTTCTCCCAACACCCAGCATGGTTTACTCATTAAATTTAGAGTTGCAGTAGAGGACGAAGCCGGGAGCGTCCCAGGCTTCCTTCCTAAAATAAGCATTTTTAGGCTCATTAAAGCAGCATCATATGTGAAGTTTAAAGAGCTTTATGAAGAACTAGGGTCTCGACAGTGGACAAGTGACAGAGGCGCGCATTCATTACAATGAAGCGAATTGTAAGTCCCATGGATGACTTGTTAGAATATGTGAATACTTTCTTACTCAAGACCTAAAGTAGAAGTGTGTAATGATAATATCGACTATGGTACACTCAAAATGTCCTTCTTGCCCAATAAAAGATCAAGTTATTTGACAGCCCAGTGTAGGATCGAATGTTCTGAAGTGTTGTCTCTTCAACAGGCAAGGTAACCTTAATTCTATGCTGCGCGCAATCCGAAATCGCGTGCAACCGGACAATGCAATGGATTAAAGCTAGCAATTCTGTCATCGCGCGTTACAATTCCGGTACTATCATGAGCAGTCCACAGAAGGACTTTCGACAAAACTGTACCATATGGAATGGTCGAAAATCGAGTGTTTTAGTGAATCACTTAGAATATATTTTCGATTTTCTCAAGATCTGATTGATAGATTTTCTTTAAACTTTCCAGATAGTTAGATGGCTATATGACAGATAATGAGTAAGAGTTTGGGAGAATTTCTATATGCCAAACTTGAGATATGACTTCAAACACAAGAAAATATCTCCAAATTGGCGGTTTCTAGCGGAACGCAGGCACATATTTCGAGATCCTATTGATAAATTTTCTTTAAACTTTCTAGATAGTTGTATGGCTATGAGACAGATAATCTGTGCGATTTTTGTAGAATTTCTGTGTTGAACTTGAGATATGACTTCAAACACAAGAAAATATCACAAATTGGTGGTTTCTAGTGGAACGCAGGCGCATATGTCGAGATCCTACTGATAAATTTTCTTTAAACTTTCTAGATAGTTGTATGGCTATGAGACAGATAATCTGTGCGATTTTTGTAGAATTTCTATGTGTTGAACTTGAGATATGACTTCAAACACAAGAAAATATCACAAATTGGCGGTTTCTAGCGGAACACAGGCACATACTTCAAGATCCTACTGATAAATTTTCTTTAAACTTACTAGATAGTTGTATGACTATGAGACAGATATTCTGTGCGATTTTGGGCGAGTTTCTATGTGCCAAACCTAAGATATGACTTCAAATACAAGAAAATATCACAAATTGGCGGTTTCTAACGGAACACAGGCACATATTTCGAGATCCTACTGATAAATTTTCTTTAAACTTTCTAGATAGTTGTATGGCTATGAGACGGATAATCTGTGCGATTTTGGGAGAATTTCTATGTGCTAACTTGAGATATGACTTCAAACACAAGAAAATATCTCCAAATTGGCGGTTTTTAGCGGAACAAAGGCATATATATTTTGGAGATCTAAATGATAGAATGTTTTAAAACTTTCCAGATAGTTACATGGCTATAGGAGGAGGAGGAGAAGGAGGAGTACTGAGGAGGAGGACTGAGGAAGACTGAGGAGGAGGAGGAGGTATTGGAGGAGGTGGACTCAGAAGGAGGAGGAGGACTGAAGAGGAGGAAGAAGTGGAGGATGTGGAGGAGGTAGATGACTCAGGAGGAGGAGGAATCAGGAGGACTCAGATGGAGGAAGACTCAGGAGGAGATGGACTCGAGAGGACTCAGGAGGAGGAGGAGGATGAGAACACAGGATGAGGAGGATGAGGATGAGGAGGAAGAGGACTCAGGGGGACTCAGGAGTAGGAGGACTGAGGAGGATGAGGAAGACTGAGGAGGAGGACTGAGGAGGACTGAGGAGGAGGAGGAGGAAGAGGAGTATTACTTAGAAGGACTGAGGAGGAGGAGGAGGAAGAGGAGTAGGACTGAGGAGGACTGAGGAGGAGGAGGAGAAAGATGAGTAGGACTGAGGAAGAGGAGTAGGACTGAGGAGGACTGAGGAGGAGGAGGAAGAGGGGATGAGGGAGAGGAGGGAGAGGAGGGAGAGGAGGAGGAGGAGGAGGAGGAGGAGGAGGAGGAGGACTGATGAGGAGGAGGAGGAGAAGGAGGAGGACTGGAAGAGGAGGACTGAGGAGGGGAAGGAGGAGGAAGGGGAGGACTGATGAGGAGGAGGAGGAGGATGAGGAGGATGAGGAAGACTGAGGAGGGGGAAGAGGAGGAGGAGAAGGACTGAGGAGGAGGAGGAGGAGGAGAAGGATGACTGAGGAGGACTGAGGAGGAGGAGGAAGAGGAGGAAGAGGAAGAGGACTGATGAGGAGTATGAGGAGGAGGAGGAAAAGGAGGAGGAGGAGGAGGAGGACTGGGGAGGAGGAGGAGGATGATGACTGAGGAGGAGGAAGACTGAGGAGGAGGAGGAAGAGGAGGAGGAGGAGGAGGGGCATGAGGGAGAGGAGGAAGAGGAGGAGAAGGAGGAGGAGGAGGAAGAGGAGGAGGAGGAGGAAGCATCTAAATATTATTTCCATTTTTTCACAACATTTTTTCACAACATTTTTTTTTATCAGTAGGATCTCGATATAATTGACTTTCGTCAAATATTGTACCAATTTGAGATATTTTCTTGTGTTTGAAGTCATATCTCAGGTTTTGCACATAGAAATTCCCCCAAAATCGCACAGAATATCTGTCTCATAGCCATACAACTATCTGGAAAGTTTAAAGAAAATTTATCAGTAGGATCTCGAAATTTGTGCCTGCGTTCCGCTAGAAACCGCTAATTTGAGATATTTTCTTGTGTTTGAAGTCATATCTCAAGTTTGGCACATAGAAATTCCCCCAAACTTGCTCATTATTATCCGTCTCATAACCATACAACTATCTGGAAAGTTTAAAGAAAATTTATCAGTAGGATCTCAAGATAATTGAATTTCGTCAAATATTGTACCAATTTGAGATATTTTCTTGTGTTTGAAGTCATATCTCAGGTTTGGCACATAGAAATTCGCCCAAACTTGCTCAGATTATCCGTCCTATAGCCATACAACTATCTGGAAAGTTTAAAGAAAATTTATCAGTAGGATCTCAAGATAATTGACTTTCGTCAAATATTGTACCAATTTGAGATATTTTCTTGTGTTTGAAGTCATATCTCAAGTTTGGCACATAGAAATTCGCCCAAACTTGCTCAGATTATCCGTCTCATAACCATACAACTATCTGGAAAGTTTAAAGAAAATTTATCAGTAGGATCTCAAGATAATTGACTTTCGTCAAATATTGTACCAATTTGAGATATTTTCTTGTGTTTGAAGTCATATCTGAAGTTTGGCACATAGAAATTCGCCCAAACTTGCTCAGATTATCCGTCTCATAGCCATACAACTATCTGGAAAGTTTAAAGAAAATTTATCAGTAGGATCTCAAGATAATTGACTTTTGTCAAATATTGTACCAATTTGAGATATTTTCTTGTGTTTGAAGTCATATCTCAGGTTTGGCACATAAAAATTCGCCCAAACTTGCTCAGATTATCTGTCCTATAGCCATACAACTATCTGGAAAGTTTAAAGAAAATTTATCAGTAGGATCTCAAGATAATTGACTTTCGTCAAATATTGTACCAATTTGAGATATTTTCTTGTGTTTGAAGTCATATCTCAAGTTTGGCACATAGAAATTCGCCCAAACTTGCTCAGATTATCCGTCTCATAGCCATACAACTATCTGGAAAGTTTAAAGAAAATGTATCAGTAGGATCTCAAGATAATTGACTTTCGTCAAATATTGTACCAATTTGAGATATTTTCTTGTGTTTGAAGTCATATCTCAAGTTTGGCACATAGAAATTCGCCCAAACTTGCTCAGATTATCCGTCTCATAGCCATACAACTATCTGGAAAGTTTAAAGAAAATGTATCAGTAGGATCTCAAGATAATTGACTTTCGTCAAATATTGTACCATGGTACAGTTTGGTACAGAAAGTCCAACTCGCAGTCCAAAGTTTCATTTCAAACCAACTCGAGCAAGTAATAATGATGTAAGACTTTTGTCAACACTTCCCGATAAATTGCCACACAACCGTGTGAGCAGTGTGCCAAGTATCAGCTGAGTCAACCTTTTGTTATAGGAGCAATTAGCGGCGATTATAACTTTTGTTAATCAACACCCACTATAAAAGATACGGCGCGTACTGTATCAGAAGATAATAATCATCATGGTAACTTCAGGGTAATGCAGTAAGCACAGATTACTCTCGACAGGCTCGAAACATTAAATCATTACAGCACGCCTTTTTGATGACATAGTTAATATCTATCGGAAATTCTCCAGCATTGCCATTGGTAAGATTAACAGTACTGCCGAACGGAAAGAGAACAAAAACACTACTGAATAGTAATCTGCGTATATTCCAATCTAATTACTCTATATTCGGTATATTATGCTTCAATTCTCTCCCCAAAACCCAAATACGACCAAAAACCTTAGAGCTCTAGAGCTACTTGGAAAAGTGACAAAATGCTAATTTTAGGCTACGGTAGGAACCCTACAGGCGTTAAATCCGACCTGGTCCACAAATATATGTATATTTTGATTGGTTGATGAGGTGCACGAGATCTACTATACGCCCTCTCATTGGTTGATGAGGTGCACGTGATCTACTATACGACCTCTCATTGGTTGATGAGGTGCACGTGATCTATTATACGCCCTCTCATTGGTTGATGAGGTGCACGTGATCTACTATACGCCCTCTCATCGGTTGATGAGGTGCACGTGATCTATTATACGCCCTCTCATTGGTTGATGAGGTGCACGTGATCTACTATACGCCCTCTCATTGGTTGAATGATGGTGCACGTGATCTACTATACGCCCTCTCATTGGTTAAATGGTGGTGCTATTTCTAAGTGCTTTAGTCTTTAATTAAAGCACAGTTTACCGAACAAATGTAAATCTCGGAGAGTGGAGTTTTAATAGTGACGAGATGTGATCGACTGGACTCAACTTTGATTCTCTGGATAAATTTAGAATAATTTCGGGTATCTCGAATCTCGATGATTGATTGTTTGAACTTGGGGTTTAATAGCGTTACAAATTCCTTTATAAAATTCAAACTATCATTCGTTTTTTCAGTTTTTTAATCTTCCTAAATTTAAAATTCATTAAATCAGAACACAAAATATCACAAATTCAAGCAATTAATTCTCTTATCAACTTATGTCCTCACCTGATGTCAATAGCCTTGGTTGTGAAGAATCTCAGGACAAACTCGCCAGACGTATTTGAATCATATGTACAGGGTATTACACAGTATTTTCCTAGTAAGAAACTGGTTATGTTATGGAGTTAGAATAAAACATTTTAAAATAGGTACTTAAGATCAAGTAAGGTTGTTTGCACTATAGTTTTCTAGCCGTCCCATTTAATCATGATTTGCGTTACTAGCTTTTGCTTTAGACCCCGAAAGTAAAGAATCTGGTGTATTAAAATATGTTTAACTAAAAAAACCAACCAGCAGATAAGTTCACTGTAAATTTCACACAAAATACTTAATATATAACTTAATATATAACTTAATATATAACTTAATATATAACTTAATATATAACTTAATATATAACTTAATATATAACTTATCTAATACCTAACTAAAAATACTAACCAGCAGGTAGGTTTACTCGCATACTGACACTACGCGCACACTGAAAGTCACTAGTCTGTGCCGACTCGTAGTGAGTACGATGTAGTCTGAATTCTCTGTTCGCTTCAACCTGAAAGAGTGAAAGAGTTGTAAACCTTGAGCAGAATTGTGCGGAGTCCACAGAAACACCCCTCTTATCCTACCCCTCAACCCTCGTTCAACGCTACACTCTCATCAGTCATTGGCCCTAATGTACCCACACTTTCTAATAAAACATCCTATAGTATGGAATACGTGACCACCAGCTCATACCACGTGGCTTGATTAAGCACTTTTTTAACTATGTGGTAGTTGGTATTATTGATGCTCAGTAATGTCACTAAATTTGTTCAAACGTTGTTTTGTGTTCGTGAACTTATCCCTGTTTACATTTTGTAAGAGTAACATCAAATAATAATCTCGATTCTCGTGGATCATAGACAGGCCTGTTTTCTGTTACAAAAGCTAAATGAAAAACATACAAAACATGATTATGGAAGTAGTCAGTTTATCCTTCTTATTCACATGTAAATCTAAAACTACCGTACTAACAATTTATTCAGGGAGAAAACATTTTCGCGTTATGTTAAGACTCGTGATGTATTTAATGAGTCAAATAGTTGGTGAACAGACAGAGTCAGATGAGCTGGTAGTAATTATAGTTATTACAGTAATTATAGTTATTACAGTAATTATAGTTATTAAAGCTGCACAGAAGTGGACTATAATCACTGAACTTGTCAGTTGTCTCTCAATTTGGCACAGCTTCCGATCAATACAGGGCAATGTTTAGATACAATGACACCGTTTCATGTTGTGCAGTATAATTATAGTTGTCCGGGGAATTTCCTAGAGATCGGAATTTATCAAAACATTAGCCTTAATAAGGTTACCTTGTTATCTACGCTATCTTGTGTTGTTCCTCGTCTAAAATACGAAGAAATAAAACCGCTGGTTCACGTTTTAGAACAAAAGGGCGCTGTATTTTGCCTTCGATGATTTGAGACAAGTTGGGTAGCTCAACAATTTAATTAGATGATTAGGTCCACCATTCTATTTGATAAGTGTGTGCAATGTACATACTTTACACAATATACACTACTGACCACACACAATGAATACTTCCTGTACACACAGAGCTCTCAACATTAACAAAACACTAGATATTCCTTGATGATGTCCTCTTGTTATTAATGTTGTAATAACAAAGGTTATTAGTAAATACCTTGAATACCTTTAACTGAGGCACGCAAATATCGAAATATTTACAATTTACATAGTTCAATACTATTCCAATACTCAATAACTATTACATGACATGATTAAGTTTACACAGGTATTAAAATGTACACAGTTTAATCAAATGTAAAACTTTATTAACTTCAAAACTTTAATAATAGTGTACATTGCATTGTACATCAGGTGTACATCAGGTGTTGCATTGTACATCAGGTGTTGCACATTTAATAAAATGTTTTGTTCGATTTACCGATCATGCGTTCATACCACGATGTAATAGCTGATTCAATTTGTGCGTACAGTAAACTTGTATAAGGTTACAAAAGATAGCACATTTTTCAAAAAGAATTTGTAAATTGAGTGGACAATGAAGAAGAGGTCAAAGATTGGACATTTCATTATCTCGGTGTTAAAAATTGGTTCGAAAACGGCATATCACGTGACATTGACCACAAAGGGGACGAATAGATCACGTGACCCGATTTGACTAATAATTTGTAGACGAAGGAGTTCAGCCAGCATACGGGAGACGTTTCGCTAATTTTAATAAATTGTTTTGATTGTCCAAAAATTAAGGCTAAGGACTAGCTCAAGGCAATGAATCTCAAACTCTCCGACATATTATCAAAATTCAGATGTTCCAATATTTTCGCCCTACCATCTGCTAGATATCCGGCTAAATACCATAAATACCAGTCACCATGCTATTGTTTGAAAAGAGACAGGTGCTGCATGGGCAATAGTGGTATAGGGCAACAAAAGCTGGTCCCGACTGAGAGGTACCAGGTACCGGTCAGGAGACTTAATTGTTAAATATTTTATTCTGTTTGTCTGGTATAAGTCAGACAGCAAGAAAAACCCATATCACTGTTGTCAACTGTTCATCAGTTTTTATTTCTTATGTGCGCAGGGTTTTTTTTTCCATTTCTTTGACTAGTCTATTGTTTACATGATATTTTTATTTTATTTATTTTAAGTTAAAATGTAATTAAATTAATTCATATTTAACTCCACTCCATCCGTTACGCATTAGGAATAAATAGGTGACTTACATTACAATTATCTTTTATTCAAAAAATTTCTTTTGTCAGAAAATTTCTTTTATTTGAACCACTAAAACTTGAAATGGACAAAACCTTAAAAGGCGTATACATTTTTTTCAATGTGCATAGAATAATGAACTGCAACATTCATAAAAGCATTATAATGCTTTTAAATGGAACATATATTTATAGAACCCTCACACTAAATTATACACAGCTTACTCAGTCATAAGTTCACGATCATAGCTGTGCTAATGGAATTTTGCAAATATTTTCGGGAGACATTTAAGTCTTCAGATTTGGACATGAAATATCGTTCGCGTTCTGATCGGAATATGTACATTACAAAGAGTGAAAGCTGGTTAAGCGTTCACAATAAGATAGCATATACGTAAAATACACTATTAAATATGTCATCATGTAACAAAATACAATTTAAATTAGTTCAATTTCTTACATAAAAGAATACCTCTGATGAAATTGTTTTTAAATATTGTATTTGATAATTAATCAATGTTGGTGGGGAAATATTTATTATATATTTTTTCACACAGTGCGATGATAGTTTGTAGACATGTGTGATGATGTGATGTCATAAATTTTACTTTTTACTTTACTTTACTTTACTTTCTGATCGAAATTTTGAAAGGGATGGCAGATACAGTAATAGATTCGTACACAGAAAATTTGAGTTTGATTTTCAAGATCGGGATAGGTGTCTCAGCAGCAATATCAGCCCTTGGAATCATTACTAATGGAATATCGCTATCTTACTTTCTGAGGTAGGAACTTGAAGATCACTTTTAGATTAATTGTTTGTTTCTTTCAAACTTGTTATTGACTTATTCTAGTCTATAATGCGATCATACCAGTATGATTAATGATTATCCACGATTTTCTGGAACACACTATTTTCAGGAATCAACGAGACGGCCTTGGCAACAAACTCCTAATCAGCCTGAACATCTGTGATCTCCTTATTTGTGTTATCTCCACTATCAACGTTGCAGTATTCATCCCCATCATGAACAAACTGCCCGACTTCCTACAAGAATTATATTACTTTCTCCGGGGTGAAAACCCAAACCTTGGAATTATGGATGTTTACAAGTTCTTTATATGGTTAGAGGAGACAACCCTGCCTTGCTATTCTTTACTTCTTCTCTTCATTCTTATGTCTTGTTTTATTACCCTGCTGTTGAGTGCCACTCGTATGATTTCCACTGTACAACCCTTCTTGAGAATGAAACAAAAGTTTATCCTACTTGCTATAATCACTGCTGCATCTCTTTTTATAGCACTTTTTGGAACAAAGCTACTAGTACTGGCATGTTTGAGCGAGTTTACAAATTCTCTTACCCCCGATCTTGGTAAGATGGTAACCTGCGCGAAGAAGCACGAACCAATAGAATGGTACTCTCTTAGAATAGAGTGGGGCCTTATCTCTTCCCACGTGGTTTTGGTGTGTGTCTTTAACCTTGTGACAATTCTAAAGCTTCAAACTGGAGATGAAGCAGTACGCCAGGCAGGCACTGCCAAACAGAAGAGAGCCGCTACAATAACTGTTCTTATTCTAGGCCTGCTTTTCATCGTTTTCAATGCACTCTGGATTGTTCTATTCATATGTTTGTCTTATGATGTGATCCTGATTAATCTTAACCCCTACAACGATCCTGTCATCGTATATCTAGAGGAGATATTCACTAGCAAAGGAGATCTGATAACGATATTACTGTGTCTGTTGATAATGCCCCTCAACTCTGCCGTGGATCCCATAGTTTACATGACGCGTAACTCCGGGATGGTTGCTTATAGGAAGCAGCTGAATGCTAGGACCATGTGGAAGACTGTGTCTGTGTCTATTTCCAGGAAATCTTTTAGCTCTTTTTCTGGAAGATTGGGTAGTGGGAGGTTAGGGCGTGATAACAGTACGTCTGCTCTTGCGGTTATAAACACTTTTAAAGGTGCTACTGCGAAGGGGAAATCTGAGGAAACCAAAACTTCTGAAAAAACAAAAATTTGACAAGATGAAAGGACACTAAAACGTTGATAAGATGAAAGCTGATGTACGCTTTGTGGAGTATAATGTAGATAACAATGCAGATAACAGTGTAGATAACAATGCAGATAACAATGTAGATAAAAATGCAGATAACAGTGTAGATAACAATGTAGATAAAAATGTAGATAACAAGTTGTTGGTTTGACCTAATTTCTTGAGCACACAGAGAACTAGAAACGAAAGATTTTGCGTATTATTTTTATTTGAATATCTTGCTTTTATCCCTCTATGAATATTGAATAATGAATAATGAATACCTAACTTCCAGTTAGAAAGCATACACTAATTATTAGAAATAGGTAATCATTGAGTAAGAAGCCCATTTAAACTGTATGATTTGACTGAAACAGTGAAACCGCTCAAGTAAATCATTTGTGTGTTGTTTTGTTTTAATATATTTGTTTTAAGTTCCTATTTAAATTTGATGATGTTTGAAATCTCGTCTGGTATGTATGGTATTATGTGTAGTATGTGATGTCTGGTAGGTTATCGTGACCCCGAACTATGACAGCCGCTGGAGTCTTGATTGAAGGATTTGATTGATTAATTCTCATCTGTATGTAATCAATAATCATATACATTTAAAAACCACGGCTTTACTTTTGACTCGCCCACCTTCAAATTCTATAATTTGTATACTTATTATATTATCTACAATCTACATGTTATTATATTACGAAAACCAGAAATTCTTGCGTTACAAAAAGCGTAGAGTTATCATAGTACTACAGGACAAAGCTTACAAACAATGATTAACTTGCACATTTACAGTACAGACTACAGACACGATGTACAATTGGTATCATTTTACTGAGGGAAAGAAATCAGAATTCAGAACGTAGTAGTTGAAAACTAATAACACCATGTAATAACACCTTTTAATTCCACCTTCTAATAACACCTTCTAATAACACTAATAACACTTTTTAATAACACCTTCTAATAACACCTTCTAATAACACTAATAACACCTTTTTATAACACCTTCTAATAACACCTTCTAATAACACTAATAACACCTTCTAATAACACCTTCTAATAACACCTTCTAATAACACTAATAACACTTTTTAATAACACCTTCTAATAACACCTTCTAATAACACTAATAACACCTTTTTATAACACCTTCTAATAACACCTTCTAATAACACTAATAACACTTTTAATAACACCTTTTAATAACACCTTCTAATAACACTAATAACACCTTCTGAAACCTCATAACCATAGGAGGCGAACTACATCACCGTACAATATTGACAATATTAAGTCTGTGCCCTGTGTCTCTAAACGAGAGTATGTGTGTTTCATGAAGTGCTCCGTGTTTCAACTTTTTGTACATTGTACACCATTGTTACTATAGCAGCTAAAACACGTACGATATTCTAAAGTTAATGTTGGCCCTTAAACACAACAACAGACAACATGACTAACGACAACCTGTGTAAATTCTATAACTTGTAACTGCATTCAATATTATTACAGCTCTATTCCTGACTTACAAAACGTTCGGTAATATTTTTTATGGATCAGTCCCATCTTTAAAAAAAGCTGTGAATGTAAAGGAGGCTTACATACAAGCAGGGGGATGTTCAATGTGTACACAATAGTGTATTGTATCAGATGAGTAGCAAATTAAGCTCATAATGAACCCTGGCACGGTATCCACAGAATGTGCTTTGTGGACTGTGGAGGCACGCTCGTATATTATATAGTACATATTATATAGTACATAACATAAAATACATAATAAGGAGGTGGGCGGGGGTACGTGCTACTCTCAAATTACATTGCAGTTTGTCGTGATATAATGTAGAATACAACACTGGAATTCCCTAGAGAGACGTGAAACTTATATAAACTTCATCTAAAAACTTGTAGATCATAAAATAGGTCTGGATACTGATGGGGATGGTGGTGCCATGTTTGTTTTGACACGTGACAGTAGAAGGATACTGGATAGTGAGTGTGGCTTTTGATTGGACAGTACTGACTTGCTATTTGATATCAAAATAGCAAGTAAACAAAAAATTGTCCAGTTACCAGCCCTATAACCTCAATAGATTAGAGTCCAGAGGGATGTGGCTCTTGTCGATTACCACATTTTATCATAATTACCACATTTTATCACTTAACATTCCATATCAAGTTACATCAGAGTAATTTTAAGATGAGTCATTGCTTGACTCGAAAGGAGAATTTTCATCTTCAGAATATATTCCAAGTATAATATGCAAATTATAAAGATTCATAAATAATTTGAGGTTGAATTTCCTGGAATCACAACCATCAATATTTTGTCTGCAGACCGGGTGTCTTATGTGTAGCCCCGCCTTAAGGGATTTTATAAGATTTGTGGCTTCTGGTTTTCGCGGTTACGCTAACATTACAATTTGACAGGTTATTGTTTCATGAACCTAAATGGTAACTGTTAAATTAAATGTACTTTAAATTGACTGACCTCAAGGATGGCGAATCCTATTTTCTTGAAAGCCGGCATGGAACCATCATCAAACGGATTATCACTGCTAACAGCTCCGGTATACTGTGGCTTCTGAGTTAACTCTATTAGAACTACTACCTCGTCGTCTGTTATACTCATCATGTATTGGTGGTTACATCTTATAAACATCGCCTGAAAGTTGTGTTTATTAAATACTTGTGGTTACATCTTATAAAAATCGCTTGAAAGTTGTGTTTATTAAATACTTGTGGTTACAACTTATAAACAACGCCTGAAAGTAAATGTATTTTTATCAGATATCGATTTTAATCTTTATATCTTCTAAACATTGTCTATCGGAAGGAATTTCATAAACTTTCATGCCAACGGGAGTTGAACTTATATCATAATATCTTTTAAATCGTATGAAATTTAAATTATATTGTTTAGAGAATAATTGGTGTCAGTTTTAAGTCAGGGTAACCCAATCAAGTGAAATTGGTTTAAACTAGACCGCACACAGTTTTTAGCAAGTAAAGACGTTTACTCAAAAGAGGAAAAAACTTCCGGATAAAACAGCAGGGTCAGATTTCACTAATCATATCGATCGAAACTGGAAACGAAACTTGTAGCTGAACTCTGAAGTCAATCTATCAACCAATTAATTAACTCGGTAATTAATCACTTAATCACCTTGTCGCCATTAAAACCACCAGCCCTACCATCCCCCCACCAGCTCCGGAACTGTTCCTTTCTCCAAGTTTTACTGAGAGCCAGGAATGACGTGTTAATCACGTGGTTAACTACCAAGTGTGAGAACTCTGAGGAGAGGGGATGTCAAACACAAGGATATGTTTTATGTGATCATGTAAGGTATCCGAGGGGACAGCTCGTGGAATGTTGGGATATGTTTTCTGAAGTCAAGCAAAAGGCTTGTGCAAAATAAAGATAATATTTGTAAGGTCATTCAAAAAATATATTATGTGCTAAGTTAAAATTGAACAGTATAAAAACTCTTTATTGGATGTTCACGGAGATCTCATATTTAGATCATCACTAAATAAATCATGACAGAAAGATTTATCAAATGTAAAATAATAACATCAAATCTCGCACCTTCAAAGAAGTCGATAACAGCAATCCAGAACTGTCGAGGACTTGTCGTATTCAACTCTCTCTTTGCAGCTTCAGGTAGACTCGCCATCTGCACTGAATCTGATATAATAAGTCTTAACTTTCTGCATAACTTTATAACTTAAGATCACTGCTCAAGTTTTATCAGCGAAGAAATATTTAAATCTTGTTAGTATTTCTGAAGCCAAAAAACTTGATTAAGCACCCGATCACCTTATGAATTTATTAATTTATCAATTATCTAATTATTCAATTATCTTATTAATCACTCACCCTTAGAGTAGGGCCCATCATAAACCTCGTCAACTGGAGAAACAAGCTTTAGCAGGTAAATGTATTCTCTGTTAAACATGGTACCCACGTTCACCTGTAATGAGAACACGTGTTAATGATTCACTTTCACTTTCACTTTCACTTTCACTTTCACTTTCACTTTCACTTTCACTTTCACTTTCACTTCCTAATGTACGCATTGTCCAAAATAATACGGGGTTTGCAATAGTTGTGGAAGGTTGTCCGTTTTTTTTTTGGAACGTAGAGTTTAGATCTTTGAAAAAGTCGTCATCAAGTGTTTATTGAGTGCCTTTATCAGTTTTTATCAGTGTTCACAATACTGTGTAAAGCAATGAGTAATGTCCAGCCCTAGTGTATGAAAGGAGACCTTCAGCTACTTTTCGTCTCTAGTTCCTTAATCGACATCCGGGTGAAATGAACTTCTGTGTAATCTAAGATTTCCTGAGAAATTTTCTGTTCCTTTATAGTTGAAATTTCAAGAAATTACACCTCAATTCGTAGTAAAACTAGGTTATGTAGAAACATAAAAATTTGTATGTTTTCAGACTATAATATTTGTTTGACGTTCTACGCAAAGTGTTTACAATCAACAGTACTGAGAAATTAATACATCGTGTATCCTCAATTACGCTACGACTTCTTCGTAGATACAAATACATCACAAATACATTACAATTTACACTGTATTGTACTGTGTGTATTTTCTGGGTATTATATATCTGCATTTCTTAGCATGTAACACTTGCTATACAGGTCAGTAAATTGTTCTAACAATATCCTGGATCAAAACAATAAGCTAATAAACACAAATCGATGCGGCTATAATGTATTTTTAGTCAGTACATTAATCAATCTCAGTAACTTTGTATTCTTGGTTACAGTGCAACACCAATCATATGGCGCCAACTGTTTATCCAGCCTATAATAAGTTCTAAGTATAATACTTAAAGTATAATATGTACAAAACATTACGTAAATTCATTATTAAGTTACAGTGATTTGATTGGTCTAGGCTGGTTAATGGTTGTCACGTGACGAAACCTATACATAGATCAGTATCATTCAACAATAAGGTAATGACATCTTGACTTGCTGTTCAAATAAAAAGTAGAAATAGTAAGTTGAGATTACATGTTTTGTGGTCTCTCAACAGTGTTTTTTAAATGCTGTTTTTGGTAAAATATTTAATTACTATAATTATTATAATGAAGTAAAATAGAAGAAACCTTCTTGCTCTCAGCTATTGGGTAGAGCCCATTTTCGAGGATGTTATTATCTGAGAATGTTTGATCCTCACCGTCCGGTCCCTGTACAGCAACACCCTGAGAATGGGGCTTGGTAAGTAATTAATTAGTAATTAATTAGTAATTAATTAGTAATTAATTAGTAATTAATTAGTAATTAATTAGTAATTAATTAGTAATTAAATGATGTTGTATATATGACCCTATCCTAAAGGGATTTGCAAAGAGCTGAATTCAGCCACTTTCAAGCTGGATTTTGAAAATGGGTTATTATTCGAAGATAATGAATATGAACTAACAGTGGATTTGGTAGCGATGAAGATAGTGTTACTAGCGTGCGCCTCTTCCACCATGTTGAAGAACCCCATCCACTCATCAGCAGCTGAGGTGTCAGCTGAACTCAGCTTGTTTAGATCCAGCACTTCACTCACACCTCCTGGTGAAAATTAAACGTCAGATTTTAAGTTAAATTTAGATATTAAGTTTAGTTAAATTTACTGAGATTTTATTTTTATTAACATTCTTGGGAATTATCATTTAATAGGAGTCGACTAAACAGAGATTGATTAGCATTTAGCTTTGTAACTTTATACGAAATTCTTACGAATACAATAAATAATCCCACATTTGAAACCACCTGTTGTAACAGATAGAACCTAATAAACCTAATAAACCTTAAAATAATAAACCTGATAAACCCTATTAAACCCTATTAAACCCTATTAAACCCTATATAAACCTTGTAAACAATACCTGTAAGATCACTGAGAATATCCGTTACAGGTATCCTATCAATAACGTTGTAACCGCCGTGTAACTTTGCATACGCCTTCTCAACTAGAGAGGGCCAGAATTCGTTGTCATGTTCCGATTTTGTGTACACTAACTTGTGTTTCTGGAGGTGAGTAATTGGTTAATTAGTTGAGTAATTGGTAAATTAGTTGAGTAATCGATTTAGTGATCGGCGAATCAGTAAGGGAGATAAGTTAAGAAAATTATTGATTAAGAAAATCACTATTGACAAATGATTGGTTTGTTAGAACCCGTTCTATTCCGCACGAGTGTGTACACACTAAATTGAGTTTCCAGGATATTGTATTATTTGAATAATATGCAGAATATCTCAAGTCAGGTTGCAAAAAGAACTTATCAAATTACAGCGAGAACTTAAATAACTCGCAGTAACAAACGATTTTGACGTCATTTCTTAATTTTACGCAACTGAACGCCACTAGGTTACATTCCCAGATTCACGGTGTTAATAAAATAAGCTGAAAGGCCCACAGTTCTAATTTCCGCACCTGTGCAGTGTGGAGAATGTGGACAGTATTTTCAGTGTAAGGTTACATATTGGTGCCAGAAACCAATCACTGATAAGCCGTATAATTATGGGGTTGACATATTATAAAATTGATCATTTTCAAAAATATCATGTTATATCAGCTGGACTACGTTTAAAGGAGTGTTATAGGAGGGTTGGCGCCTTGTGAAGGAGGCGTGGTGCCTTGTGAAGGAGGCGTGGTGCCCTGTAAAGGAGGCGTGGTGCCCTGTAGAGGAGGCGTGGTGCCCTGTAAAGGAGGCGTGGTGCCCTGTAAAGGAGGCGTGGTGCCTTGTAAAGGAGGCGTGGTGCCCTGTAAAGGAGGCGTGGTGCCCTGTGAAGGAGGCGTGGTGCCCTGTTAAGGAGGCGTGGTGCCCTGTAAAGGAGGCGTGGTGCCCTGTAAAGGAGGCGTGGTGCCCTGTAAAGGAGGCGTGGTGCCCTGTAAAGGAGGCGTGGTGCCTTGTGAAGGGTACTTTACCTACCACTTCTTATCATGTTTAACAGGACGTTACAAATCAAATTCCAGTAAATATTTTATGTATTAGCAAGGTGAACTTGAGTTGGAGCCGGTTGAGATTCGGATACATACTTAACCTTGCGGACAGTGATCATTCTATGAAATTAAAGTTAGCCGTACCTGAGTTAATTAGGTTAATTAAGTTAATTAAATTAATTAACCGTACCTGAGTTGGTAGTCTGTCATCGATAACAACATCCGTCCACTGACCAAAGTAGTGGAAATGAAAGTGGAATATTCCCCGATATAATTGTGGTTTTTCTGAGTTCCATTCTTGGTCCTAAAAAGATGTGTCATTGTGACTGGGAAATTAAAGCTGTTTTTTATGCAGTCAGTCGACAAAAAATATCACGCATTTTACCATCAATCGTTATTAAACTATTAATACAATAATGCAGTGACTGAGACAATAACAACACATATCTCTACTATAATTCAGAGAATTATTTCTGTATGTACGTTTGTACGACCGCCCACGTGCAAATCAGATGAGAAATAGGAATTTAGATAACAACCAAAACGTTCCATAGCAACGGTGTTTTAATGCACACATGCACGTGCAAAGATTGTTTTAACGTCGTTTTTATCGGTTTTGTGGTAATTACGTTGTGTTTAAAGTGTTTTATATTTAATTCGGCTGTATCTTCGGTTGGGATGGATATTTTTTGATGTGATTAAAACTTTCTTTCAAAGAATACTACTAGCTTCGTCCCTGTTACCACGGGCTTTCTAGTATTATCATAATATCACTGTCAGTAAGCACTGTAATAACACCGATTAAGACTAATTAACCAATTAAGACTAATTAACTAATTAACCCCACCTTAGGCATAATGAACTCTTTAACAGGAGCACGTGTACCAACAGCAGTGATGGCGGCTACGACAGCAGGGCTACTAAACTTGCCCTTGCTTGGTCCACTTGCTCCTAGTCGTGGGTCTGGGTATATCTCCTGCAGGGAAAAAGTGGTAAAAGATGGGAAAATGTGGTAAAAGGTGGTTAAAGGTGGTTAAAGGTGGTTAAAGGTGGTCAAATGTGGTCAAAGGTGGTCAAATGTGGTCAAAGGTGGTCAAAAGGAGAACTTGTGGGTTAAGTTTACTGAAATGACAGTTGTTATTTAACTTGTGCTTACCTTTGGCCGGAGCCACTGAAGTATTCTGTTTTGCATAGTTCCATTGATATCGAGACACAAATGGTCAGCCCCAAACATTCCATCATTGAAAAGGTTGTCTGCTTTGATACAATCATTCTTAAGCTGCCTAAAACTCTGATATCTGAAGTCCTTGAAATCGTTAAACATTTTACGTCACCATTGCCTTGACCTAGGGTAAAAAACAATTAATTTTCATCACTGCACTGTTATCAAATAAAAATTTGTATAATAGAGCGGTATTAGTTTTAATTCTAGTTCTGCTATTGTAGATTGTAGAATGAGTATTTAAGAAATCAAACACTTAAAAATAACATATTCTATAAATTTCCCAAATGTGCCTAAACGTTAAACATTATTCGTTATAACTTCAAGTATAAAAATGTACACAATAAGCAAATATTACCGGTTACAATAACTATTTTAATATAAAATATCATGGATAAAATCGAAGGACATAACATACATACTACATAGTATAACCCTAATTCTGATTAAAATAATGTCCTTTGTATTATAAACACTGACGTCAAAAAAATATTTTAAAAGCTTAAACTTTCAAAAATATAAAAATACAGCTTCAATTTATCTTGTTTTTTTCAACAAATAAAATAGTAGAACATGAAACTCTGAAATTAAATTAAATTAATCGAATAAAACCAATAAGTGGACTTAAAATTGCCTGAGTTGGACCAACATATTATAGCAAAATGTCGTGATTAACCTTATCTCTTAAACCTAAGAAGTTTGATAAAAGGTAAAACAAGCTGAGCTTTAAATCCTTGTTTCTGAATATTTCTACTGTAACTGGTATTAAATCTGAACAGTTGTCTGGCAGCAGCTCGACTACTCCGCATATCAAAGAACTTGTAATAATCCCGAGAGAAAGGGTTTTCAGCCTCCCAGTGTGGTAAAACATCAAACTGACCCATCTTCAGATTATCCCTAAACTGGTCTTCACTGATCATTCCTTCAGCTAATAGTCCTCTCTGTGTGATCAGAGCTTTGAGGAGTAGAGCATTAGGGACCATAGTGCCCATACCTATACCTCCCAACCCATACACCATGGCCATGTTAGCAGCTGGAGCTGAGAGCCGCATGAAGTTCTGAGCAGTAAGACCACGGGAACATGTCCTCACAGATATTATCTCATATTGTATCCCGGGGCTATCGAGCTGTAGTGAAGGACTGAAAACTGTGTTGATAATGTTTAGAGCTGTTTCTGCATGGCAGTGTCGGTAAGGGAACAATCCCCCACCTGAAGCCTGCATAGCAAACAAGTGATAGGGTGTTCCGGAGATGTCCACCTCTCGCTCACCTAGCATGAGGCACCTTTTATCACCGTACCCATAGTCATCTCGGAATTTGCTCAGCTGAAAGTCAGGAACTTTGGTTTTATCTATCTTAATGAGGAATATCATGGTGTTTGCTGTAGCTAACATCATTTTCTCCATCAAGTTTGAGGGTTGAAACACCCTGGTTAGTCGCCCTAACAAGCTCTGGTTATTCCCTGGTTGTAATCTAAGTGTAGTCATTGAGGGACCCAGTGAGGTTATCAGTGAGTTAACAACTGTGGTAGACATCTGGCCGGTAACAGTGTCCTCCCACCTTACTCTGGTGACCTGACAGTCCTCACCACCTCTCACTGGTTTAACAAGGATACTCACCAGCCTGCTCTGACTTCTCACCTCACCTCCACCACTGATAATATCTTGTGTCATATCTTCATCAATACTCATGGGAAATGCCCCACTTCCCGGTCTCTCTGTCAAGTTAAACACATACTCAGGATCATATCCCCGATCTAATGTCTCTTGTTTTGATAAAACTCTTTCTTTAATCATTTCCCTTCCTACTATTTCCTCCATTCTTTTCTTCCCTTCAACAAACTTACTTTTTTTCGTTTGTTTTTTACCAGGTGTTGCATCCAGAGACATAGATCTCTCATTGGACATGTAGAGTACAGAATAGGGTAGGTTCAACTTTTTCAGAATCACAGTGGTCAGTCTGGCATGGGGAATTGAGGTGTATGCAGTAGTTTTGTGAATGGGATTAAGAGCTGTTCCATGCATGTAAAAGCCCACGTCTTTCAGCGCATTCCATTGATTCTTTAAAGACAGTAACAGTAGTCCAGGATCTCGGAGCAGTGAGCTGTAATGGATTCTAAAGTTCACCCACATTGCATCTGTCTTGATCTTGTGAAGGTACCCGGTAAAGTTAACCCTGCGATGAAGTGCATCACGGAGCGTTAGGTACCCTATATACACTGCATTGTAATTAGCTGCATGATACAGTGGACAAACCTCCCGCATAATATAAGTTCCTGCAGACCCCTTCCAGTTGGATATTCCTCTTACTCCGTCGTGTGCATACAAAACATTACCTCCTTCATGGCTCTGTGCTTGTATCACTGCTCCAAATATTGCAGCAGGGCCGCCCACATAAACATCCCACTTCTTCTCATTCTCTGATACAATATCAAGGTCCTCCTCAATAGTTATCTCGTTCTCACTCTCATCCCACATCTTGTAATCAATTGTTTTGTTTAGTCCCACATTGTGCTGACGCTGAAGTTCAGGAAACACCCTACCAAAGAACTCTGTGACGTCATCTGGTCCTGAGATGACATCATGGATCATTTTTTTGTTCCTTATTCTGGTTTCTAATTCAGTTAGGATGTCTTTGCCGTTTGTGAAAGTCGGTGCATTGTCACGTGACATGGAAATGGGTGGGAATTCTCTGGGATCATGCATTTTCTGCTGCACAGAATTTTTAGTTTATTATGTGTTTTTATAAATTTTACTCAGATTTTCATTGGATTTTTTTCCCTACTATTGCCGAGGCAAAAAGATCGTAGGGAATAAGTAATCGGGTTTGGATATATGAGGTGGCCCGACGGCGCTACATTGATGACAAAGTCTGCTCCTTCTCCTATACAGATGATATATATATATATACACTCAAACACACTAGTACCGAACAATTGCACTGTAAAACATGCTCACGATACACTCAAAATTGGAAATATTCAACGGCTCGTATATTAAACTTAGCGACTTACACTCAGTGTACACCCAGTGTTAACCAGTATTACACACTAGTAAATTCTACGTAACGCACGAAAACAATAATTCTGTAGCGTTTTCATTGTCACATCTCACGTTGACGGGATTAAACGCGCGCGCGCGTAACAACTTATCTTACTGCTAACTCAGCGACTAAACACACAACGACTTTGACAATTGACGGATGATTAAACAATTGTGAGTTATGACGGACTTAACTGTATGGGTCAACTACTGAAACTGTATTGTTTACTATCTTATTCATTATACTGGACATGAGATGACGAAGTATCTTAAGCAGCACTTCATACCCCCACTTAGAACTTGATTATTCACGAACATAGAATCATCAAAAACCAATACAATAAAACATCTTGATCAATAAATGCCTAGCAGCACCAGACAGCAGCCGTGTACCTTTTTCGACTCCGTGGAGTCCCTGATGGACTTTTGTTTACTTTTGTTAATAATCGGACCAACCTTTCTTTCTCGAAACATGTATCCTATTGTATTTCATTATATTATTAAGATGTGAAGATATACTAGATATTACAACGAAATAGAGGTATACCAAATTGGCCCTTGATATTAACTATAACCGTGTTGATGGTTTTAAATTTTGTATGCTGTAAGTATTTTAGTTTGTGAAGCGTTTACTGTTAGAATCTTAATTCTATTTGTAGCTTGTTTTTGTACTTCATATTACTAACCCTGTATCTCACTTTAGCAAAGGTTTAGTTCCAGTGATTGTATATACAGTGTTGGGGTAAAGGGACTCCAGAAGGCAGACAAGGCTCGACTCCAGACTCTAGTTGAAGTAACAGAAGAGAGAGGAGTGTCCAGTGTTTAGTTGACTCCAGACTCTAGCGTAGCAGAAGGGAGAGGAGTGACGTTGTCGACTCCAGACTCTAGCGTAGCAGAAGGGAGAGGAGTGACGTTGTTTTAGTGATCCCACAGATTCCAGTCGACAGATACTATCTGTGTTCTGTGACGTGGAAAGAGTGGTAAGTAGTTTATAGTTATAGTTTAGTAGTTTAGCCTAGGAGTTCCCGCTTCCTCTTTCACTTTCATTTATAGTTTCACGTGGATTACCTTTCACTTTACTCACGGTAGTTTTCCCCCAGGGTTTTGTTTTATAGTTATCAGTTCCAGTTTTACTTGAAGTCCTCATCATTCAGAAGTCCCTCATATAGTAAGAAGAACATCATCATCAGGAGTAGTAGTTTTAATTTAATAGTAGTTTAATCTAATAGTAAAAAAGACATTGTTTAGTTTAGTATTGAAATGTGTTTTAACTATTAGTCAGAGCAGAGTAGTGTGAGTTACTGAGTCACACCATATCAATCATTCACTATTTAAGAGAGTACATTGTAGAGTAACAAGGTTACTTTTGACACAAGATTTGTATAACCTCTTTATTCATCTAATTTGTATTTATAATAATTGAGTATTATTTGTTATTTAATTAACCCAAGAACAGGGTTCCAACATTTACTCCTCCCCCTCAGCAAGACAGTTAGATTGTAGATTAATGATAATAATTGTCAAATGACGTTATATATTATATATAATATAACAGTTATAAATGTTCAATAGTTGTAGAGCGATTTAAAGAGTAGTGGTCCACAGGGGTCCGAAAAAGCCGTACAGGCACTTGGGTCCTTATCCTTGTCACTAATCTCAATTGGATTCGGTTTACACAAAACATGAACATTTAGACGTACACATTGACACAATATTTATTAGGAAGCAAAAAGTATAAAATAATATGTGCGTGCGCGGCTTGAGCCGAGCCGCATAAGAATAGATGCGTGCAGGGGCTGGAGTACGCTTGTATGTAGATTAATGAAATGTTGCATTGTAAATATTTAGAATTGACGATATATTATGATCTAATAATAAATTTTACAAAGCTTTGGATTTAGGTAAGATTATAATTTATTTTAAAAAACCACGGATAGTTTTAAATTTATTTCTATTTGTCGTATAATCATAAACAATTCAATCCTGTTTTCAAGACTGCGTGGCTTTAGCGGCCAGATATTGACTTATTTTTTTTTTTATTAAATACTTTTCAAATTTTACAGAGTACAGCAATAGA